TACATCTAAATCCCATAGAACAGAATAAGGAACCTAAGTCTAAAGAATAACTTGCCAGTCAGTTAACAAAAGCTTTGTTTCCTGTCCTGGAACAGGCCCCAGGACAGTTGGGGACACAACTTAAAAGGAACTTTTAACATTCATCAAATCCCCCTTCTCTACCCATCTGACCCAGTCACCCTTTAAAGTCAGTTTAAGTCCAAAAGAGTCCAGGAAACCTCCCCCAGTCACTTCTGCCTACACTAATCATTTGCCTCTTTGAAAACTAATGCCTGTCTACAGGGATGAATAATTAGCAACTGGCATTACAAGGTACCAACCAATCAGAAAAGATGGTTAACCAAAACACACATGGCCCAGTGGGAACTGCTGGTTGATCAGTCTTATTTATTCATAACAATTAAAAAAATAGCAACCTCAAACTCAAATACAACTTTCTCATTTGATCTTCAAATCTACGCATTAGGTGAAGTAGATATCACCTCTGTTCTTCATAACTGGAGGTAAAGTTGGGACTAATAACCAACCGCTTTCACCATGCCATACACCTTCTCCCAATTATGTACACAGCATTATAAATTAATATTGCATGAACTGTATTTTCATCAACCAGTATAAATACTAAAGGAATGCTCAGTCAAATGTAATTCATTTAATCAGTAAGCATTTATGTGGAATAGAATATAAAGCACGGTGCTAAGTTCTGAGGCCACAAAGCAGCAGTCAGGGATGGGTTTCATGTCAATTTTTCCAAGGAAGGAGGGAGTACAGGCAAACCTAACTGCTAATTTTAACCTGTATTTGCAACCACTCCTCAGCACTAGCTTCACTACCTCAGCTTCACCTCCAATTATGAGGCATTAGATTCTCATAAGGAGCACACAACCTGGATCCCTTGCATGTGCAGTTTACAATGGGGTTCGTGCTCCTATGAGAATGTAATGCCTCCCTTGATGGGACAGAAGACGGAGCTCAGATGGTAATGCAAGTGATGGGGAGCGGATGTAAATACAGATGAAGCTTTGCTCACTTGCCCCCAGCTCACCTCCTGCTATGCGATCCCGTTTCTAACAGGCTTCTAACAGGCCACAGGCCACCAGTAATGGTCTGTGGCCCCAGGGTTTGGGGACCCCTACCATAAAGGAAAGAAAAGGCATGAGCCTTGTCCTCTGGGTACCTATAATATATTTGAGTATAATTAAGTAGCAGTGTAGGCAGTAGAAATGGACAGCACAAACTACAAGTGCTATTCCATCCAGGGAGATAAAGAGTTCAAGAAGAACTAAACCAATACAGGAAGTTAGGACTGAGAACTTCGCTCCTCACAACCCCCAAAAGAGGCAAAATTACATGTGTAGTGAAAAGGCTGAACAGTCAGGAGCCAGTGGGAAAACAGAAATTGCTACAATTGAAGGTTTACAGTAGTAAGAAGTGAAATCTCTGGTTGGATACTCAGAGATGGCTCTAATCATAAGCCTCTCAAGTATTGCTCTAAGTGCTGAATACAAATGGGAAATCTTGTAAACCTTTATGGGGATGACTGAAGAAGATTAGCTTGGCAGCAGCCCATAGAAAAGCCTAGATTAGAGAAACATTGGAAAGCAACTAGATTTGGGGGATAACAGGCAAGACCAAGTTGAAGGCTGCATACCCAGAAAGGAGGAAACACTCGAGAGGCATTCATATAAAGAAGTGTTGGATTTGGGACATGTATTCAAAAAAAAAAAAAAGATATGAAATGGCAGAAAGGAAGCATATAGCATTCTCACATGGGATATATAGGTAGACATAGTGGTACTAAACTGTGTACTAGAGATTAATATAAAGAAGTGTTGGATTTGGGACATGTATTCAAAAAAAAGATATGAAATGGCAGAAAGGAAGCATATAGCATTCTCACATGGGATATATAGGTAGACATAGTGGTACTAAACTGTGTACTAGAGACAAGGAACCAATTTCCCTAAAGAATTCTATGCTGGAGAGAACAAAAACTGGGCAGAGGACTTTAAAACTAATACCCATCAAAAAGAATCAAATTGCGAATCTTAAAAAAAGGAAGCAAGATTATAGAGAAAAAAAGCATTTGAGCTTCGTCAAAATGTCTTCAAGGATGGACTGAAACATCGTCATAGCCAACAGGGCAGGCAGACAAGTTGAGGCAGCCTGGGCTTAGAGTAATAACCATCTGGACCAGTTTTGTATTGTGTGTACCACAGAAACTGTAAACTCCTCCAGGGCACGGACTGAGCAATGTTCTGTAAGTCCACTAGTGTCACTTGAATGCATTAACACTTCTTGTACTAATCTAGGTGGAAAAGAGTGAATTGTTATTCACACTAATAATGATATGGAAATGTTACTTATGTTTGATGCATACTATATTTAATCTCCCTCTGCAGACCAGTGTCAAAAATCCATTATTTCTTTTCATATAGGCCCAGGTGAAGGTACTCAGGAATGTGCTAGAAGTCAGAATGAAGCCAACCTGATATTCAACAGAGAGAGCAAAATCTAAAAGTAAATAATAAAGATCAACTACTTATAAGATGACTGAAGAAGAAAAAATGGACTATGCCAGGTAGTTTGGTGTGTGTGTGTATACACATAGTACAGATTTTGGAGACAGGAGAGTCCCACGTGCAAATCCTAACTTCAGCACTGAGGAGTACTTAACCTCTTTGCACCTCAGTTTTCACACCTATAAATGGGCCAAATGTCACTGAGCTCTGAGGGTTTAGTTGTGAGGAGTAAACAATGTACTTCAGTGCACTTTATGCATTTACATTATAGTAAGTTCTTAATAAGCAGTAGCTATTAGGACTAATAGTGAACACCCTCCGGTTTGAATTTTTTAAAATTCTGTCCAATGTTTGTTTTTCCAATTTCAGAAACAGAAACATATTTTTACTATATTTCAGTTGCTAACACTGAGGCTGCACATTTTAGTTTCTAGTGTTTTAGTTCTGCTGCTAATGAACTTTTTCACTCCTCCCGTCACCGGGTCAGATAACGACCGCCCACCCCAACCTGATGCAGTATTTTGGAAAACCAGCTACGCAGATGTCTGATTCAAACTACTGTCTGTCACTCAAGAAAAGAAACATCATGAGCGATGTTCCTTCGAGGAAATAAATGTGTTGGATCAGTTCACGGAGTCATTCCCCAAAATTCCAATCCCCGCAGCGTGAGCAAACGTTCAAGTTTCTACTACGAAAACAATCCGTAGCCTTCTGGTCTTACTGGATCCACTTCAACACTTTCCAGACACACCAGAGAAGAAACATTCCGCGCATCTCCGAGCTTCCTCCTTCTCACACAAAGCTTCTCAGCCCCCCTTCCAAAGCCACCCAGCTGGAGGAGCAGCCCCCTTCAGCAGGGTCGCGCCGGGGCCGAAGTCCAGGACGGTCTGCTGTCCCGGGGGTCTCAACCACACGCTGCCCCCGCCCACAGCTCCGGCAAGCCCTCGGGGCTCACACCGCGCGGGGGAAGCGTCCCCAAGCCCAATCCCGCCCCCGGCCCGGCACCCCCGGGCACCGACCCCCGTGGGTGCGAGTGCCCGGAACGAAGCTACACCGTGCCCGCGGGCGGCGGGGACGCCCGGCCCGGCCCGGCCCGGCCAGCCTC